GTAAATATCAAACTCCTCATAGACTTATAGACCTGTGTACACTCACGAACGCATTAGTCCCTTAACCTATAAGTCTTCAATACACGAAAATCACTAAGGGGCACTAGATGCACTTACAGGCGCCCGTCCACGGCCGCGCTGACGAGCTCGTCGCCAACACAGGTGCATGCTCTTCAGTATGTAACTGACCTCACCCGAAAGCCTTGCCAATCTGCATATGGATCGTCCAATGCTTTAGTTACAAGTAATATGAACACAAATAAAGACACACCCAGAAAGAGACCTAGATGAATGGCATTACCAACTACTACATCATGTTGCATTATTCCTTCAGGTACTGTTGTATGATAACATTCTTGACATTCACAGGGTTAAAGGACTGTATGGTCCCGACCACTCCCGACGGGACGCTCACCCCGTGCCAGGATATAAGCAACACCCAACACTTGGGTGATGATCAGTACCCAAGCACTCGATTCAGTTTTGTTGCTCAAATATTGAATTGTGTCATTGATTGCAGACCCTAAAGAAGTAAAAAGGGCAGAGGGATAGAGAGCAGTATGCACAAAATAGGGACGTGATTAATAAGAGACGGCGTGAGGTCTATAAACAGAAGAAAATTGCCGCAGCCGATATCAATGGGGCACACACCCAGCTGGCTGTATCACAAGGTAATGATGATCAACTTCATGATATATGGCACAGTTTTATTGCTATATAATGATCTATGATCTGTTCTTCTAGACCGTAATGAGATAAAGAATCAAATGGAAAGGGAGCGGTATGCGCAAAATAGAGAGGACATTTTAAAGCGACAACGTCCAACCCGCGAGCAAAATAAGCATATTGCTGCCGTCCTTGATGGCAGTAACATTGTAACACAGGTGTCGGCTACCGGACAATCGGCAGTCACACAACTGCAGAACATAACATGTGCAGGTGGTGCAGTCACTGGATTGTTGCTCAACTGCTAAACTGTGTCATGAATTGCAGAGCCTAACGAAATAAAAAGGCAAAGGGATAGAGAGCGGTACTGTAGTTGGTCCTATCCTGAATCTCTCATCAAGGCAGAGATGAGTGGACGTTCCAAAAGCACTTCTACGGTTTGTAGTTAGTCCTACCACCCCATCTTCTCAAATAAGATTGTTTTTCTTTTTATTTGTGGCTTGTGATGCTAATACTTTTTCATTTGTTGGTGCCACAGCTAAAAGACTGGATGATTTATCAAATATGCATCCAAGCACATGGAATTAAAATCCGGTAAGTGGAATGCTCTAAATGTTACAACAGTTTTCATTTTTCTGTATATAAATGAGGTCATCTTCTATTATAAAATTTTCATATTAGATGGCTGCAGGATAAGTATTGCATCATAAGCAAAAATAGGAAAGTAAATGTATAGGCTCGGAAACAGTTTGGATTTTACAAGAGAAGATCTACTAAAGTACATTCAGGTAGAATCAATTGCAGAGCTAGGATTTGCAAGCAGGTTTGTCCTCATCTAAAAAAAATCCCTATATCCCTCCCGGTTTGAACAGATTATGTGCAAACTTTATATATATGTATGTGCTCATCAGTGAAATGTCTCAAACTATGCTTTGATGTGAGACCAGTCAAACACTTACACAGTGTAATTACATAAACATGTTGCCATATGCAGAGTGTAAATGTAGGTTTACTAGTAAACGCCAAACTAAGACCTAAAAAGTACTATATCAGGACCAGATTTAAATAGGTTTTAAGATAGCCAAAGTGTACCGTACAGTCACACATACTTTGTCGTACACTTTTTTTTGGACAGTACAGTCATACATTCTTGTCCGTACAGGCAATTCCAAAAACTCTCCTGTACGGAGAAGAGCAAGTATAGGCAACAAAAGTTGAGTAATTTTAGTCAGAGTCCGAAGTCACGCAATCATGCTTAAGGCACGAGAATATCTGCAGAGTCTTAGCAGGGTACATTTGGTATGCTGGTCTTCTGAGCCAAATGTGATTTTGAGCTCTTAACAAGGTGCATTTTGTAAGCTATTTATTCTTATTTTTAACTGCATAGCATTATGAAAACAGGATGACATATAAGAACTGAAATATGAAACCCATGCATTGGACTACCTTAATACACCCTTAAGTCATTTCAGGTAAAGAGAAGCTTCGATGTATCACCGAGTCGAACCAATACATTCAACAAATAACTGGTATACTCGGAAATTAAGTGAGTAAGTACCTGATCATTCTGACCGAACAAAATCCAAGACTATCATGAAGTAAAACTGTCAAGTACTTCTTCTGTACAACGCTCAAAAGCTTCGGGTTGATGTATATGGCAGGCAGGTATGCCTCCCCATTCACATCTTTCTGTTTATCCAGAGTTCCAAAAATTTATGATGGAACAAATTCGACGACTCTTCCATGGTCTTCAATATCCATTCCTTGTATGCCTGCAAAAGCACTGATGTTATAACCGGGAGTCCGGGACAAGAAGAAATACATCTAGAAGGTTGTGCTATATCAATTATTCATTCTTTAACCTGTCTCTTCGCTTTGCTATAAATCTCGGATTTGGAAAGTTAACCATAAATTTTCTAAAAACATGCTTCCGTCTTTTCAGAAGAAGTAAATTTCTTTGGCAGGATCAAGCCAAATCAACCTCATCTGTCTTGGTCCCTAGCTCCTGACAATGCCCCTAGCCACCCAGAATTCAAATCCACCAATCAATCAACTTTATGACAACATGGTTGCCTCAAGAATATTAACTAACTAGAATCTCCACTCATAACAGTTGTTGCAGCAAAGTTAAGAACGTCTAATCGAACAGCTTACTCCAACTTCTATTTTTTTCCTCCCCGATTCTAAAGCGACTCTCATACTTAAACCTAAGATACTGAGCTACATATGTACTGTACAGTGATGAATAGCAACTAGGAATCAGCAAAAGTGTTTCGCAAAAAAAAAAGGAATTAGCAAAAGTGGGGAATGGGGAGTACCTCAAATCAGAACTAAGAATATATGAAAGCTGGAGTGGGGAATAGATCATCAACCGGCGCCGGCTTGCAGTTGCAGGGGACCAGCCACCGCGGCACTACTGCCGCACCTGGGCAGGGCAGGGCACAGCACAGCCGCACGCATAGGGTGGTGGGAGCCGACGACGAGCAGACGCTCCAAGCGTCGGGCGAGCGAGACGGAGAGGAAGGCACGGAGCCGGGCCGCAGAGCTCCGGATGCATGATTGCCACGGCTGCCGATCTGGTGGAGACGAGTCCCGCGCCTCCGCGTCGGCCTTCGTCCACGCCTAGCACTGGGTCAGCCAGCGAACATGCCGAGATCGAGCGGATCCTCGGGCACTTCAGAGACCGATTCGACGAGGAAGTGCGGAGAAGAGTGGGGAGAGGGGGTGCGAGACCTCACGTCGGCTGTGGAGACGAAGAGGAGGGGCGACCTGAGGAGGTAGAGAGAGAGTTGTGGGCTTGTGGCCACAGGGAGAAGTGGGGAGACAGTGAAGTGATAAGGGCAGTGAAGGTAGGTGACGAGGTGAGGAGAACTGAGAGGAAGAGTCAGGTGTTCCTTTTTTTTCTTAGTTTTTTTCGGTTCTTTTCTTTTTTGAGTTGGTTTTTAGCCCTTTTGGTGAAGTCGTAATTACAGATGTAGCATTGGGCGTTGTCCAATTCAATTTTTAATCAAAGTAGCCTTTTTTGGTCATTTGGTTTGTTTTTAGGGTTGGACTTTGTACAATTCAGTTTGGCTGTGCGCGTGCGATTTTTCACAATGGGTTAAAAAAGGTGTTCAGTCACGATGATTTTGGAAGTTTTATAAAACTATTAAGATTTTTATTATATCAAATTTTGTAATCATGCAAGTCATCTTGTGGTCTTTGGATGTTAAATTTCATGGAGTAGGTAGATATTTTGTCCGACGCTTCTAAATAGATAAATTTTGCTATATAGAATGATCCATTGCCAACCATAGAAAGGTTATGATTTTAAATTTTGTCAAGTTCAGTTCAATTTTGATTATACTTACGTTTTCTCCAGCATTATTTTTGAGTTTTATGCCATGAATTTGTTTTTCCAGTTTTACAAGTATTTGCATCTGAACAATTGGCAGCGATTTTTTAAAGTGTTAAGGGTCATTGGCAAATATTTTATGATAATAACGCTTGGATAGGATTATTTAACACTAACACTTTTGTAACGTTTTCACTCTTTACAGAACCCAAGTGGCAACAAAAAAGGGGAGAGAAAACAAAAAAGTAAATTACTAAGTTATGCAATTGAATTTTAATGTTATATTGTGATTTATTTGTTGCATTACTTGTTTGGAATGGGGAGAAATAGATGAATTAAATGAGATTTCCACTTCCATATGTTTATTTTAACGATGAAAAAATAATATTATCTGATGTGCATAAGTATATGTTATTTTAGAATGTGTGACTAGCAAGATGCACGTGCATTGCATGGAACATCAAGATGCACGTGATTGATGGTCGGACTTAGCGGAGGCATGGGGATGAACGACGCTGGCAGCGGCCACCATGCCAGATTATTCCACAGGCTTCCTTTTTTTATTACTCAACAATGAAGTTGGGAGATAAGGATGAACGAGAGAGGTGTCGGCATCCTTTTGCAAAATTGTCATAGTTTGCTTTCTATCCGTCAGATATAGATCGGACGGTCTATATTGCAAGATGGCAGGTACACCATCATCCCCCAACTCGGGGTTTTATAAGAGCAGAGATAGAAAAAAAAATCGCTGCCATATGTTGCATGTAAAAGAGTATAATTTGTGCGTTAAAAGAAACGTGCGTTGTACGTGCACACTTACTAGTATCCATTAAGCTCATATTCTTTTTTGGGGAAACCTCATATTCTTTTAGTGGAACATGATAATGATGAACCAGCAAGATTTTTAAAATGCCCGTGACGACGCACTGGCGTTCTACTAGTTAAGTATAATTTCTTATACTTCTCTGTTAATATGGTGGTGGCCGCCGGCGCTGCCGAATCAGGTTGTCCACGTCGACGAATCAAATCTGGAGCTGGGCTTCCTCTTCCGCTTTGGCCTTGATGGGCCAGCCTCGCTCTCCTCTTCATTTCTCTGCTGCCAAACAAAGGATACTGTTCTAAGAAAAAGCATACAAATCTTTTTAAGAAAAATAGGTATGCAAATGCTGATCTACAATCTTGTAAAATGGCATGATTTGTAGTATTCAAATAGTTCTAAAACCAGGAAGGTCCCTGCTCTTTGCTGAAGTAAATTAACACATATGGTGCAGGGCTTCAACTTTATGTGTGTCTAATTTTGATGTTTCCAAGATGAATCAAAATATCTACTTCAAACTTTTAGCAGACTGCAGACCAGTGCTATGAATCTATTAATTGAATTTAAACTGAAAAGCACGTGTTACAAGAGTGAGTCCCATCATACTGATATACCCGAATAGCAAGAGATTAACTTACTTATTTAAGGGAAATGATGCTAGACTAGAAGGAAACAAGTAACAACAACAGGGAGGCTACTAGAGTAACTGGAAGCTAGTAGAGCCATCACAAACCTTTGCCTGGTCTGCCGCTGGGATCATCTTCTTGGTCTCACTACTGAAGGCGTCAGCTGCCTGGACTAAGACCTATAAATAATATGTCAATTTCACAACATCAGACAAACAGCAAACGATTCTGCTCAAAGAAGACCTCCACACCATACCTTCCATGGAGCATCCAAACTATCAACATGAGACTCCAGCATGTCCGTCACCCGCACCCAATTAAGCCGTCGGTGGGGGCTATCCTGCTACACTCACATCAGGCAGTTCTAATTAAGAATCCTCACTCCAAAATTAACTGAAAAATGTTGATCCAATGTGTAAAAATCTTGATAACTTTCAATTCGACGCGGAAGGATAAGTTTACCTGATCTGGTGGGGCAGGCAAGTTCAGACTGATGGCTGCGCCGATCACATGTGCCATTTCCTGCCAACAAGGGTTATTACAGTGTGTCACACTCAAATCTTCAACAGTAATGAAACATATACTACTGTACTATATAGGTTAATAATAAGGGAAGTGCAGCTATCATACATGCATCCTTTGCTGAATCCGATGGCCTGATCTCCACAGCTCCTCTATCTTAGAACGGTCATGTTCCCACGCCTCCCACTTCTTCAATTTCCAACCCTCTTTTCTCTTTCGCGTGCGCACCATACCGGCCTTCTTGTATGCATCCAACCGAACAAGTGACTTCACACACATATAGGATTGCGTATTCTCGTAGCTGCGGGGGCTGGAATCTAACAGCTTCACCAACTTGGTATCGTCAATCGTAAATCGCTGGCTTGTCAATTCATGGCAATATATGCCACCATTACGACTATGCATGATAATCTTATCCTCGTAGATGAAATGCGGTCCAAGAACGCTAAGTGCTGGTAACTCAATACTATACTTCTGGGTCCAGCTTTTCTCTACCTTGTTGTCAAGTGTCCAGATATGCAGCTTCCTTGCGAGCACGGAATCTCTTCTGGCTTGAACAGCAGCCACAGACACCTTGGAATCTATCTCGGTGATCCAGTAACAGAACGGATTAGCAAATGCAGGATCCGCAAAATCAACTTTGGGCAACCGTATTATTTCTAGACATTCATCTCTGAGATCAAAGGATATAACGGCCCGTCGCCAGTTGCTTTCTTTGTCATGGGTTAGCCAGTACATTGCTCCGTCAACATTGACAACTCCACTTTGTTTCACACAGTACAGGCTTACAACTTCTAGAGTTCTGACGTCCCTCCACTTGTCATCGCCTAGCGTGTAAACTTGAATGACACTGAAGGAACCACCAGCAGGATGGAGCTTCTGGCCCGGAAGAAAGTGCACGATCTTGTATTCATTTGTAGCTGGGCTGAAACCAAAGCTGTAGAACGAAGATTGATATTCCGTCGCGTACTTGACGGGTTTGGCTAGGTGCATACTTTCACCGGTAGCGAGGTTGGCTATCTTGATGGTTGAGTTACTCGAGTACAAGCAAACAAGGCCATTGCACGAAGCGCACAAGAAATCGTCAGGATCAATCACGGGCACATCCCGCGTCGATGGCGACCAGGCCTCATCAAAGAGGACTGCTTCGCTAGGGAAGGACTTGCCTGAAGCCCGGCCTCGTTGAAAAAATAAAAGGGGGCGAGGCCGCGCACGCCTGAGGTGTGCCATGGTGAACTGCGGATCCCGGATGATGCCATCCCACTGCTTGCAGACACCACAGCACCTCAGCAGATCGCTCACTGGAAGCCTCACAAGTATCAGCTCGATGAGATCTTGCGGCAAGCTGGCCAGGCGTTTCTTCTTTGTTGGCTGCATCGCCATGGTTTCGGTCGAAGCCACAGTGAGAGCACTACCAGATCCTTCTGCAATCAAGAGTTTCACGGACTGGCAAGTCAAACGAATTCGGAGACTGGATAAACTCTGCAGAAAATACATGAAAGCAAGATCATTCAGAGGAGCTTTTAAACATCATGGGATCAAAACAGGAGGAGCTGAAGAAATCGCCATATGCTCTCAAACGTTATCCCTCTTTATATGACTACTCAAGAGGTTCGTCAAACAATCCATGATCCATAATCTTTGAATCTAATATAACTATATACCCAAATAAAAGAAATGGATGTACTGCTACCAAGTCATAGGGCGCCGCCAATAGTTCGTGCTGGACTGAATTTCATACATACGATTGGAGTTTTCCCTTGCAGGTTGCAACCCTAACGATCGATTTGTATTCCCTAGGGGATCAAGCAGGCGCGTGATGCGGAAGAAGCGCGGTTGCAGAAAACGTAGAGGAAGGGAAAACGAGATCCGGAGTTAGGGGAGGGGAGGGGAGGGGAGGGGAGACTCACGGGCGAATTCAGATGAGCTCCTCCGCCGGCGCCTTGGCCCCCGCGAGATGAGAGAAATAAAAGATGGGATCACGCCGCCGTTTCATCGAGAGGGAGCGCGGTATTTAACCGTCTGGGCCTGACTCGCAGAATTGGCCCGGTTTGAACCGGATACGCCTTCAATCGTGGGACTTTTTTCATCGTCAATTCAAAGAGTTTTCAGTCAAATCCTGTTATACCTAGTTTTCGCCGTGCCAAATTTCTTTTGAGAGCAGCAACTCCATTGAAGGTCAAGGTTTTCTTTGTGGCGAAGCTATGCGCGACAGACTTCCTCGGGCCGCAAACATTAAGAGAAGGCAAGGACCGAGTGATGGTTCATGAGGGCATTGGCTGTTCTCGGAACCCCAATTTGTTAGCGACTTACTAGTTGATTTGGTTTCTATCTTAGGTGGGGCTGTTTTGTTTGATGATGATTTGCAATAAAAAAAATTCAAATGTCCTTGGGGAGCATCCTCATTCACCCATTTGTACCGGCCTTGAGCAGTCGGTTCAGACTTGAGAGGCAATATGAAAGGTTTTGCTTTCATCCATAGATAGAAGATTATAGTGCAACTACAAGTTTCGCACTTCCAAGTACAGTACTCTGTAAATCTTCAATATATACTCGGTGGCAGGAGTTAGTCTGATCTTCAGATCAAATGGTCTTGCTGCCCCGCAGATTCTTCAACATCTCAAATTGACCAATATGTTTAAGTGCCATAAATATCAAGAATTCAAATGGAAACATGACAGCGCATAGATCACTGTTTTACAGGTGAAACAGCTAAACGTTCCCTCGGGGTACAAACAAACAAGAGTTGAACAACAGCCTGAGCGAGCTGAGAAGGATGTCATGATAAGCTCTCAAGTATCAAATCTTCACATCATCGCCCTCACTGCGATTCTGAGAAGAAATGCCAGCGTCTGAACTCGAGGCGCCGATCTGAAACATGAGTAGGGTTCAAATACAAGACAATACTTTCATCACAAGTCAGGGGGAGTGTAGAATTCACATTTGAGGAGAGCATAGCATAATTGTTTTCTTTTCCTCGAAAGAAAAAGGTGCATAGACTGTTTTACAATGTCATTAAATTTCAAATTCAAAGCTCAAAACAGAAAATGGGAAATGGAAATTTTGACGTTTACCAATCAATTAATCCATGCTTCATATACTGAATGTTCCTTAACTCCTCCTGTGCTAATATGTCTGCTATATAAGGGTGTAGGATGTCGAACAATTGTAAGTACCTCTCCACTACATTACTTGACAGCAACCAAAGTAACTTTTAATTCCATGCACAGCTATCATTATTCATTTAGTGTGCCAGCAAATGTGCAAGAATGGAACTGCAGACAATACCATCGATTCAAAGGTGGTAAAATCAATAGCTTGATAGGACCTATATTTATGCAAATCTGAAAATACAAGTTAAGGAAGGAATCGACACGCAAAGTATTTTGCAATCAAACCCAGTTCACAAATTTAGGGCGCCTATGTTAACCTCGATAAAAAAATATTTCTTATTGATGTAAAGTATGTTGACTGTGGGCTAGCTACGTAACAGCGTAATGAACACAATAACTAGACAACTTGCACAGTAAGGAAAAGGAACTAAAGTACACAAGTATGCATACATTAAAATATGGGATGGAAAAATAATTGTATTAGAGGGGAAGTCAATCACTTGTATGAAAGGAGATAATACAAGTACTTCGATTATATTCCAAAAGAAGCTAATTTGTCTATTTATTGCGGAAGAGATTAAAACAGATATAGGAGACAAGAACTAGTGAGCTATAACAGAAAGGAAAAACATGAATAAATTAGAGCAAATGTAAACCTTTACCTGATTTAATACAGCATTAACCATCATGCTAAAGATACTATGCCTTGCCTCCCTCGTAGCCTGTAGACAAGTTAACTTTATTAATACGCAAAAAAAACTTTATTAATTCGACATGTCTTAAGGAACAGTTGCATATGATCTGGCTTGTAAACTTGAAACACTATTACCTTCGTAATATTATTCCAATTCTCCATACGAACAAATAAATTTTCCCTATCCTGCTTCTGCGCCACACAATTAAGCCGCCGGAGGGGCCTTGGCTGCTGGAGTCTCATGCAAGAAATGTGTTGAAACAACAATAAGGGTACACTTAAAGAATAGTATTAAATATTCTACTTTTCAGATGATTGTCGACCATTCAAACTTAATATGAAAATAAAAGGTATGCTGACTTCCATTTAGATAAAGAAGTACCTGATCAGGAATGTTCGGAAATATTTGATTGATTTTCATGCCTATTTCCAGTTGAATTGTGTCATCCAATATACGTGGCAGCACATCATTGATCATCGTGCGATAGCATTGTGCATGTGCCTATCAAATAGCAATGCAGAAATTATTAAAATTTCCAACAAATTCTCATTAAGCTAAATTTGAATTCAGCCTACATACAGCTCCCACATGCTCGTCTCGATGAGTATCGGTCCATATTCTTTCATTCTCAGAGAGCTTGTGCTCCCACGCTTCCCACTTCTTCAATTCCCACACTCCCCGCTGTTTTGGCCTACGAACAATGCCAGCCTTCTTGTATACATCTAAGCGTATAAGTGACTTCACACAGATGTAGGATTGCATGTTGTCAGGCTTGTGGGGCCTGAAATCTAACAGCTTTGTCATCTTACACAATTTAGTATTGGAGTTGTCCCCAAGCAACTCATAGGAATATAGGTTACGGTCACGGCGTTGCAATATGGTCTTATCCCTATGAACCAAATTTGGACCCGGAATGTAATCAGGTGAGTACTGAATATTGTACTTCTGGCTCCACCTTTGCTCCGTTTTGTTCTCAAGTGTCCAAATTTGCAGCTTACCAACAAGCCTTCTGGGCTGAAAGGAACAGGTTTGAGCCGTTGCTATACATATCTTCCCATCAATCTCTCTAACCCAGTACCGACGAGGCCCATCACCTGCAGAGTCTTCGAGTACAGTTGCTGGCAGTTGTATCCGTGCAAAACTTTCTTCACCGAGATCAAAGGTAATAACTGCATGCTGCCAGCTAGCTACCATGTCTTCAGTTAGCCAGTACATTGTTCCACCAATATTAACTGCTCCAGAGTTTTTTAGACAGTTTAAACTTAGGGCTTCTGGAGTTTTAATATCTCTCCATTTGTCATCACCAAGTGTGTAAACTTGAACGACTCTGAATCTGCTATTATTATGGAGAGGGCGGCCCTCGACAGAATCACCAAGGAAGTGTATAATCTTGTATTCTTTTGTCACTGGGTGAAATCCAAAGTTATACAAGAAGAAGTAATCACCCCTTAAATTCTTTACAGGTTTATCAAGATGCAGGCATTCACCCGTTGCAAGGTTAGCTATCTTGAGTGTTGATGACTTTGTGTATAAGCAAAGAAGCCCGTTGCATGAACCACAAAGGGAATCACCAGGGCCAACCACTGGCACTGCACATGTCGACTGTGACCAGGTCTCATCAATCAGGATAGCATCAGCAGGATAGAGCTTTCCTGAGATCGACTCTTGTGGGAAGAATAGGAAAGCACATTGGGGCGCATCCTGGAGGTGAGAGGTGACAAACTGGGGATCTCGGATGATTTTGTGCCATTCCTTGCAGACACCAGTGCACCTCAACAAAGTGCTCACTGGAAGCTTAAAAAATATCCGCTCAATGAGTTCTCCTGGGAGACCGTTTATAATGTGTTCCTCGTCTTTTTGCTTCTTTGATTTGGTTTCCTCAGCCATCATCGTAAGCAATCTAGTCTCTTGAGGAAACTTAGATACCAAATTCTTCTGCAGAAACATTTAAAAACAATAGAGCAAACTGAGTAGAGGTTATGATTGAAGTAATTTGCAGGAAAATAACATGAAGTTTAGGTGAAGTTTAACAGATGTTTGAGTTTATCTTCTTAGAATTGGTAAAGAAGGAAATAAGCGGCAGGCCTTACAAATATGGAGCCCTGTATGACTATTGACTAATGACCACAAACAAATCAATATATGTATGATGCCTACAAAGTTGAAAAATCAAGCTAGCTTATTACTAAAAGCATGGTGAAATACATATCAATATGCATATATGAAACACAAAGCGAGTATGACACCGCTAAAACTCGCCATACAATTTTAGCCAAATGCCGCAAATGACTCTCCTCAACAATTATGTGCATCAACGCAACAACCAGACAACTTAGAAATAGTTTACATTGCGACACTGGACAAAACAAGCAGATAACGCATTTTTTGGCACTAGAAAAGACGTACGAACTCCAGAATCAAGCAGCAAAACTGCATCAGCGACAAATAGGACCGGTCATAGACAGCAATTTCTGCACCTTTTGTAAGTTTCAGTGGCTACAGTAGTATCCAAATGTCTAAACAGCTCTATGCTATATTCCGGCACCGCGGAACAGAAAATAAGGGTGTGTCTGATTGTTCACATTACTCCAGCCTGTATCGTATCTGGGATCCTGGCTGAGTTGATGCAAAGATAAGCTCAGATGTGTGTTTGGTGGCCTATATGCTTTGGGGCAGGCTGAGCAGAGATGTTGTTTGGTTGTTTCTATCTAAGGGTGTATGAGAGATGATGTATTTAGCAGATATTGTTTGGTAGGTTGCACCTAGCTGAAAAACTTCTGATCGATATGAGATGCAAGCTACCAACCAAGGTGCAAAGTGATATATACATAACACATCATCTTTGGCATCAAATTTAAATTATCATCAGTCCTCATGAGCAAACTAGTACAAGGCAAAATCCAAATGTGCTTATCAATTCCCATATTTTCTTTTAGAAGAATTCATATCCACCAATTTTGTGCCACTAGAAATACATTATCAACAAAAATATAATCACCATTTATTATATAGAACAACCATAACAAATCTGAGTGAGAGAAGCAAGCTAATTTTTTTTGGAGAGGAGGCCGGCTACCACCTCCCAACGGCGGCGGCGGAGAAGTAGAAGAGGGCTGGTGAGGTCCCATCCGGCTCCTGGATCTCGATGGCGGCAAAGGAGCAGAAGGAGGCGGCGGCGGCCCTCCTTCAGGGCGGCGGAGGCGAATCTGGGGACCGGTCGAAGGAGGAGGAGGCGGCGGCGGCGGCGGCGGCGGCGGCGAATCTTAGGCCGGACGGAGGGGATGGGAGGACCGGCGGTGGCAGCGGAGGCGGGCGTGGTGCGGGCGAGAGCAAATGTGGGGAACACAGGTTGGTTCGTTTTCTTTGCTTCTTTCGCTCTTTGTTTTTCGTTCATTTTTTATTTTATTTTGTTTATATTTGAAATATTTTAATTATATATTTATATTAGTTTAATTTGCATAGTTTCTAAAAAAATCATTGCGCATTAAAAATGTTCAATCTACAAAAGCGTTTCATGATTTTGGAAAAATATTTCGTACCATTAAAAAAGAAGCTCGTAACATTTGGAAAAAGGTAAGTAACACATAAAAAATGGTCCCCATGTTTTTAAAATTGTTCATGTCATTATGGAAAATGTTAAATGTGTGTTCAAAAAAATTTCAAAGTGAACTTGACAAATGTTCAACATTTATTCGTAAAAATGTTCATCGTGTATTTGGAAAATGTTCAGTGTGCATCTGAAAAATGTTCGTGCATTTGAAAAATCTTCATTGTGTATTGACAAATGTTCAACATGTATTCACAAAAATGTTTAGTGTGTATACAAATTTCTTTCAACTTGTATTTAAAAATTGACACGTATTTGACAAGAATAAATAAGACAAGAAACTGAAGAAGAAGAAAAAAGAATATAAGATAACCCAAGGAAAACCAATGAAAAAAATACCGACTGAAACCAAAAAGAAAAAACACATGCAGAAGCTTCTAAAACCGGTCTGCACAGGTCTATAGAAGCATCCCAAAACTACTCCAATGAAGCTACATTACGCATTATTGGACCAGCCTGCTCGCGAGAGCGCCAGAGGCGAGTCGTCCTTTGCTCTCTCAATAGGCGAGATCTAGCAATTGCGTCCAAGGAACGATCGAGTCATGTGTATCTCTCAATCTGATTCAAAAGGTATTTTTGCATTAGTTGGGCCAGGCCCAGATAGCTATGCAGTTATGTTGTTGGTCTGTTGGGGTCACTTCCGGTGTTAATTACTTCCATGTAGTTGATGCTTAGTGATTATTTGGTGAAAGATATGTGTGTTCAGATTGTTATCATATCATTACCCCACTGATTATGATCATTATAATGTCTTGTGAGTTGTCTGTCACGTTCTTGAGGACTTGGGAGAAATCTTGGTGTTAGTAACCATGTGAAATTGAATGGAGTTTAATGTTTTGATATTATGTTATGGTGTAATTCTCTAGTGGTGATGGGTGAACATCAACTACATGTCACTTCACCTATAAGGGCCTAAAGAAGAGCATTATGTGATTACTTTGTTTATGATGGATGGTCGGGGTGACAGATATTACCTGCGAGATCCTTATGGGGAGGTGGCCAACTTCTTCAATCAAGATACTACAATAATAGGTCTTCCGGCTGAGTGTGTCAGCCACGACATCCACTTTACCGGTTACGGTGAGACCATTATTATAGTTCTTGGGAAACGTTCCAACCATCATATATGCCTGAGATTCAGATCTGGTTGGTGTCAGGATATTCCAGACTCATCGAGTCTAGGAAGAAAAATGAAAGTTTGCAACACAAATCGACGAAATGACGTTGCGAGATTCTCGGGAAATGAACTACGATAGCAAGCTCCAAAACATGAGCTGGTTCTGCTACACATGTGTGAACACGCTGCCTCAGACAAACATGATCACATGGTAGTCTTACAATAAAACACTACCGAGTTCTGGTAGGGAACCATCATTGAGGATATAGGAATCTTGTGCATGAACTAGTATTTGCACAGCAACTCCTTTTCCTTGAACAAATCAATCAGTGGCTTGGTGTGCTAGGGATACATATGGAATGAAGATGATCAGTCTATCAGACCATAGAATACTTCGCACATGCATGACTGACTTGGGATGATTCCAGAGGAGCAAAAACAAACTTTCTCGAATTCACGACGGCAACTTACATCAAATGCACGTGAATCAAAGGAAGTCACTTCTTTCATCCAAACATATACTTCATGAACGGGGCATGAAGAAAATGCTTACACAAGTTTCCAACACTAGCTTAATGTTCAACAAAATCATGGAGGAGATAAGGATGTTGTCAAGCTCAACAACAATTCATCCGGGTTTCCTTTTAAAAGGAATTCCATAGTTAAGTGAACACGGTGATAGCATTGGTCAGACCAAAGAATATAATGGTGTATGCTCGAGGAAAAACCACGAGTAAGACAACATTACGAATATCGTTGGTTCTGATTTGATTTGACGATAGCCCATACTCAATCAAAGGTTTGGGTAAGATAATAGATCCAACAATTGATCACAAGGACCAATTGATGAAGATATCATCTTTCTTCAACACACACACACACACACACACACACACACAAAGATATCCCTTAACATGAACTGACTCGGAGAAGCCTTTATCTTCCAACTCTCCAAGTTGTTGTTTAGCTTAACCAACTAGCTCAGGGTATCCAACACGGATTCTTGGAGAAAGGGTGGTTTACAGGAATAAACCAACTTGATCACGAACTCAACATAAAGGTCAGGGGACAACCTGGTAATACTACCGAGAAGATATTCGGAAAATCACGAACCACCGATATGCTACTAAACTCGAGAACAATCTTGCTTTTCAGGGCAAGACATATGATCGAATAAGCAAGGGATTGGCACAATCCCAACCCATTGATCGAAAAATGCACCGGAAGTAAGGACTAGGTAGCACGATCAATCTTAGAATGATGATTCCATAACCAACACACTAAGAATGAGATTATCGTCCATTAATCACTATGTAACATGGTTGCTAGGAATATAGATTTCACACATCACGATTCACTTGTCGGTGTTCCGGTTACAATAACACGGAACCGAGGAATGAATAATGATGGCGAGAAGTATCACTGTATCAAGAGTTCATAGGATGGTGTGCAATTCCCATGATATTCTTAATAGAAAGATGGTAATACTTCAGGGTAGAACAGTACAAAAGCTGGATTAGCATTTTGATCTGCGGAGTACAACGGCTTTGACCCAATCCTGGATATGGATGAGGTACTGGAGTTTGTTTCTCCTAGTCATCCTGAATAGAATGGCTTGACGGACCACAAGAATAATAAGCATCGATAACACAAATGCACAATTACTCCTGACTATCAATTGATAGACAAGGGCCAGAAAACAACTAAAGAGGGACAACTCAAAAGAACATATGTTTTTCTGAGTTGTGGATGCATGGATTAGTATGCCGAACAAATTCAGCATATTTCTTCCGGATAACCCATGCTGAAGAGGAAGGACTGGCAGATTCACAACATAGCATTGAGAACTCGTTAAGAGCACTCTGGTTGTGATCTCTTGGTTCAAGGAACTTCTGCCATAAGCGGTTCATAGTATTTGGAAGAAGGAAATGCCACGGACCTCGATGACTAATGCAAAGGTTACTAATAACCTAAGGAACTAGCAACACTATCAACATGAAGTAAGTAGGGTGAATCTTGGTTCGAAAACCCAGGAATAGAATACCTACTACTAAGTGGCATCACGAGATGCTCTCGAGAATGATGGCCAGAATCATCACACTGGGATCATAAAACATGGCTAGACTACTAGATGATCCCCTAAGACACCTAGGGTCATAATAAAACTCCAACATATATGTCAAGGCAATAGAGTACCTCAACTCACTGGTTAGTGTGCTTATT